TCCACTGAGTTTAATAACTTAGCTAGATACTGTTTTCACCATTTTCATACATGAATTATGTAAATATGGACAGTAGCGACAAGAACTGCAGAGAACCAAGGGATGAAAAAGCTAGTTAAGGAGGACTGGGAGATTTCACAGCAGGCAAGCAAGCAAGCAAAGTTTATTTATATAGCGCTTTTTACAACAGGGGTTGTCACAAAGCAGCTTTACAGAAAAATCAACATTACAGAAAGAAATCCGGGTCCGAGCCCCCATGAGCAAGCCAGTGGCGACAGTGGCAAGGAAAAACTCCCTAAGAGAAACAGGAAGAAACCTTGAGAGGAACCAAGACTCAGAAGGGGAATCAATCCTCCTCTGGTCGACACTGGATAGCAAACATTGCTAGTATAAAGTATTATAGTACAAAAACGGGGAAAACAGGTGGAGCAAATGATTCATTTGATTAGTTCATGCAGCAGCAGCGGCATCAGTGGGGTCAGGTTGTGAGGGTGAGTTTGCACGGCGTTGTACAGCATGAAGTTCAATGGTGGTCAAGCCGATCCAGAGGGCTGGCAGCAGTGGCACCCAATCAAGGCAGAAGAGGCAGCAGCATCAGACGCACAGGATGGGCAGCTGTTCAACTCGGCAAAGAAAAGAAACAAAGGAAAAACACACAGAGAGTCGGTTCTGTAATGGGTGACTGATCACAGATTACAGTGTTAGCAGAGCAGCAGAGACTCTGGCAGGTATAGAACCGAAAGGGAAAACTAATTACCAAAGGCTTGACTATACAAGTAAGTTTTTAGCTTAGGCTTAAACACTGAGGCTGTGTCTGAGTCCCGAACACTGACTGGAAGACTATTCAAAAGCTGGGGGGCTTTGTATGAGAAGGTTCTCCCCCTTGACGTAACTTTATTAATTCTAGGTACTAGTAGTAAGCCAGCACCTTGTGATCTAAGTAGGCGTGATGGTTCATAGTGGGAGAGAAGTTCACTCAGGTACTGAGGGGCGAGTCCGTTTAGAGCTTTATAGGTCAGTAAGAGAATTTTATAATCAACGCGAAATTTAACTGGTAACCGGTGTAGGGCAGTGAGAAATGCTGACAGGATGTTAATGTTACTCAGCTAACGTTAGCATCATTTGTAGCGTACTGTCTGACCACATTGTGTCACATGTAAGACAAAAACCTTCCTCCGTTTTCATTTCATCACTATTTAACCACCTTGTTTATCTCAGTATAGCAAATAAATAATAAATAAGAGATAAGAGTCAGAAAAGAAGACGATGAAAATGCACAGAGTTTAGAAAAAAATATGATGCACAAAGGCAATGTGTGTATAGAGCAGGAGAAAACAGAGTTTAAGGTGGGCTGGTCTGCATCATATAACTCTCAGTCTGAAAACAAGTCCCACTCTGGCCCTGAGGGTTATGTATAATAATCATATCAACTTTTTAAAACCCAAATGTGGTTGATAGATACCAGTGTTGAAGAAGCTACTTTGAAAGCTTAGCTTTGCAAGCTACCAAGTACTTCACTCTGGAAGAAGTTGAACTACATCAAAGCTACCCTGGGGTGAAATCTAGTATGGTTAACTAAAGCTACTCAAAGTATCTCAAACTACTTTGTTAAAAAATATCGAAATTGACAGTGTAACGTGGTAAGAACCCCACTATTCAAAATATGAACGTAGTTAAACTACTAGTAAGCTACTGCAAAATGTAGTTAAACTTTAGTTTAATTAGATGTAGTTCACTGCTCCCCAACACTGATAGATACACTGATTATCAGTGCATCATATTTAAGGTTCACATAATGTAAAGAGTAACAACTTATATTTACCATTTTATTCACAATAATAACAACACATACTATAAATAATATACGTTAAACTGTTTTTCACAGCCCAAATAAAATTCTTTAATGATAATCACACATTGCATTTTCCTTTTGCTCAAAAATACAAAACCGGTCAAATTCAGGATTATGTGTGTTTTTTGTGATAATACATGGGCTTATAGATACATGTCTGGTTATTGGGTAAGCCACATGGTTCTTCAGATTAAAGGAGCATGTGTTGTACATGGTTTCATATAGAATCTTTTTGAAAATTGTTCTATGTAGCACCACAAAGAGTTCTTCTATTGTTATAGGTAAAAAGATATACAACATTTTGTTATGTTGTAACAATATCACAAATTAACATTTTAGTCTGTCTCAGTTGTAGTTGCAGTTAAACAGTCTTGACAGCAGGGGGGGCGGGCAGCAGCAGCCTCAGCAGAGAGAGAGAGAGAGAGAGAGAGAGAGAGAGAGAGAGAGAGAGATTAGGTAGGGTTAGGTTTTAGGTTGAGTAGGTTATTTTGTCATTGAATTGTTTTCATTGTTAAACAGTATTATTCTCTGTTGGGTTCATCCAACAGGCAAGAAGGCATGGGTAATTTATGAGTTGTGAAGAGTCGTGGATTAAACCATTAATTATGTTTACGAAGTTGAAGTGAATACTAATGAGAACAGAAAAGGTCGGAAGTCAGGTTGAGGAGTGTCATGTTCCTGTCTTTGTTGTAGCCCTCAAATTGTTTATCTGCCCCTGGTGATTGGGCCAAAATAATCTGATTTAGTGATTAGAAAAAAAAAAGTGATTTTCATCCCAGAACCACGTCTGTCAGAATTTCTGGCACCAAAGACCACACATTCTCTAATCGTACAGAACGAGTCCTGACTGATAATATTAAGATAAGGAGGCTCTTGCCTGTAATCCAGACCAGTTTAATGCTTGGAAACACAGTTGTACAATTAAAAAAAGTTGGACATATTCCCATGGAGCTGTTGGTGTTGTGTGTATTTGCAATATTTGTGCTGAAATGTTTATTTTTTCATTCTTAGTGCTACTGTTTTTGAGACTGTAACCTACTTGAACATGGATCTGGGGTTGAATAAAGGCTCCAAGGCACCTTTATGTTCAGTAAATAAATGAATTAGCTAAAAGTCTATGTTTTTTGGACTGTTCTATGTAATATCACTATAGCAGATTTCCTCTAGCTTCATGCTGGGATTGGGTGTTGGGTAGGGTCACTGACCCATGGCCTAACTTATTTATACGTAGTATGCATTTGTAGCATGTAGTATGCATTGTTGTGTTGTGTATAGTTGGCATTTGTAGTATGAATTTATTTAGTATTGGTACAGGATTTAGATGCATATATATGCAGTGAAAATCTAACTATTAGTCTTTGTGTTTATGTGGTATATAGTTTTTATTTGTATGTAGTGTATGTCCTTTTTAAAACTCCTCAAAGCAGAGTTTTGTAGTATGTAGTGTGCAGTTATGTATCTATTGTATGTGTAGTATTCAGTATGTATTCATAGTATGCAATGTGCATTTTTGTGTAATATACAGTATGCCCTTATATTTTGTAGTACATAGTGTGCGTTGTTGAGTATATTAGTAGTATGTAGTATACATTTATAATACATATTTTTGTGTGTAGTATGCTGTATGCAGTGTGCACTTGAAGTTATATAGTATGAGTCATGAACGTAGATACTGTATGTGTCCTGGATTTACGTGTACCGTATGTAGTATGTAGTCGACATTTTACATTTTGATTATTCATCTAAATGTAGTATGCAGTCTTTATATGTTGTATGTTTGTAATGATGTAATTTGATATAGATGAAAAAGCGGCTTCAGTAGTTTGTGGTCAGTTTCAGCAACTTTATTTAGATGGCCCTGTGACATTGTTGATCACATATCGTGCAACGTTAGAACTGCAACAGCTGTTTTGAGCTCCACTTACTTTTAAACACTTCATCTGAATGAGGACAGATCTTCATTAACAAGTTCACCCACTACTGTTTGCTACCAAGTACAAGAGGCATTATAAACTGGTAGCATAGTGGTGCCCCTAGTGGTTTGGTGCCCCTGTTCTTCCTTGCCCACATGCAGGCCATGAGGCAGGAAGTGGACCATCATTTTTCTGACTGTAGTTTGTCCATATTTAGCAACATATTTACTGCAATGTTGTTTATGTGTAACCTTTTTACCTCCATAATATTGTTACTAATGTTGACCTTGAAGTTGGCTCATCAAGAAGAAGTATTTGAGCCGGTTCAGTCGACATAGATTAGGCTTAGTTTTGGACTGTCTGTGGTGAATCACATTGGAAATTTTTTTGTCTAGGCTTGGCCTTAATCAGGGTCTGGGAAACCGGAATTTTTTGTAGATAAGTTTCCAGATCAACACTCTTGGATTCACATGGGTGATGACTTTGATCATATGATTTGTAAAGCAACCTTAAGGTTTGATTGGTTAGTGTGATTCATACACTGATCAGGCATAACAGTACTGCTGTGTCTGATCCACTCAGACCAGCGCAACACACACTAACACACCACCACCACGTCAGTGTTACTGCAGTGCTGAGAATGATCCACCACCCAAATAGTACCTGCTCTGTGAGGGTCTATGGAGGTCCTGACCACTGAAGAACAGGGTAAAAGGGGGCTAACAAAGTATGCAGAGAAACAGATGGACTACAGTCTGTAATTGTAGAACTACAAAGTGCACCTATATAGTAAGTGGAGCTGATAAAATGGACAACGAGCGTAGAAACAAGGAGGTGGTCATAATGTTATGCCTGATCGGTGTATATAGAAACCTAGACACCTCAAGACGTCAGAAGCTTTATGTCTTGTCAGGTATTGGCTCACTGGAAGGTTTTAATCAGCTGTAAACAAGGCTGTGCACAGGCTAGTAATAACAATACTGCTTGTAATTAGTAACATGTTTACATCTGTACAGTATCACCCACATTAGCTACCAAATACAAGGGGCACCATAAACTGGTAGCAGGGTGGTGCCCCTAGTGGTCTGGTGCCCCTGTTCTGACCTGCCCACACACAGGCCTTGAAGCAGGATGCGTTCCATCATTTCTCTGACTGTAGTGTTTGCACACGTAGCACCATATTTACCTTATTTTTTTGTTTTATTTGATTTCTTAATGAAAAGTACACAGCCATGTAGAGGAATACAATCCAACTTTGTTTTAATGTAAATTTACAGTGCCAAAAAAAAACTACAAAGCCAAAACGTACTTTACACACCTCGATCCACTACAGTTTAACAGGAGTTAGTTACAAACACAAACTTGTTCATCAAATGATTAAAATACAGCTGCAGCACATAAGTAAAATTCAGTATCTTCAAACATGTCTCTCTGTAACATCTAGTCCAGTGTCTCCACATGCAAGATAAAGGAGGAGTGTGCAACTGGGGAAACATGATATAGGAGTGAATGGCTAATGACGAGAGAGAGGACAGTTTGTCAAATCACATTCCAGCTAAGAATTAGCCATTCAGCATATTCAGTGAGTACTCAACTGTGTACAAGTTTGATTTACAGAAGATTTACATGTTAGTTACATTTGCTGTTCCTAGTCTACCACACAGCTTAATGTGAAGACCTGTGTGAAGCTCAGTAAAAATAGTTCGGTGGTTACACTCAACAAGTTGCTAATCTTGGACCATAGTTTGCCCTTCATGATCATTAACATGACAAGCTGGATCGTAGCTGGGCTGGAACTGATCCTAGATCAGCCGACTTATGATATCACCTTCGGATATCACATTAGTCTTTGTTAAACAGACTTGCACAGTAGAGCCCCATGAGTGAGGAGCACTTTGCTTTAACTGAATTACTTCAGGAAGCAGAAACACAACAATGCCATGTAGTCCAGTCCTCGAGTCCTGTGCGCTACAGTAAAGTTCAATAAATAGATCATAAATAACGCAGCACAAAAGCAACACTGTAGATTTACCCTTGTGTTTGCTTTCTGGTTCATAATAACAAGCAATTACTTGTACCTTTTACAGTACTGTAAAAAGAGAAAAAAAAAAAACAATTCCAGTATGCGAACATTTCACATTAGGAATTAAAATGAAGGAAAACATATACAGACCATGCTACATAAATAATAAACAAAGTTCACAAACAAATAAAGAAAGAGGGGAGGAAAAGAGAAACAGGCTAACCATTAGCTATATCGACTCATGTTCATGGAACTTGCAATACTGAGCTCTGGATCCATATAAAAGCACATACTACACAATCACACCTTCCTTCAATCAAAAGAAAAAGTATACGTATACTTTCCAGTATATGTCACCAATGTACACTGTATAAATATATACACAGGTTGTATGTTAGCATTTAGGTAATGATAAATATTAAGTCCATGTCAATTAAACATCTTCCAGACTATGTTATATTTGGTCTTTGCTTCCTAAAGAGGTGTTTTCATGTTTCCCTGTGGAACACCGCAGCCATTCATACAGACATGCCTTGAGCTGAGGGGAGGGGCTGAGCTTCACACGACTATTTACAGCTACATAGTAAGCAGGCATTTGGAGAGGTATCTCTGATTGTATTTTCATTTAGTTTCATTCTTCGCCGTGTTAGTTTACCATGCAGATCACCGGTACATAGACGGGTGAGGATGAATAGGGACAGAGATGAGGACTGAAGTATCATCCCACTTTGAAGCTTTGCCTCCTTAATCAACATATCACTGTCCTCTCCATCAACATATCACTGTCCTCTCCATCAACATATCACTGTCCTCTCCATCAACTTCCTGGCCTTTCTCTCTCTCTCTGTTGCTGTAGTGTTAACATTACCAGGCAGAGTGCCAAGCTCACAGATATTAGGATAAAAAAAAAATAGGTTTCTGCTCATGCTGTTTGGATGCGACTGGTGAGTCATACTACACTCTACCATTCCCAAATGCACAAAAGCTGTTTCAATATGCGAGGAGCTCGGCAAGAAGACATAATGCATGATTCAAAAGACCTGAAATGCTTTTTCCAATAAATGAGTAAAAAAAAATATATATATGCCCTTCCTTGTTGCGATCCACGCAAGGCCTGCTGGATGTGTATAATGATTTGTCTAACCACTCTGTACATTTGCTAAAGAGAGGAAACTTTGAGAAAGGAGGAGTTTTGAGGAGGTGGGACTACAGAGATTGTAAGACAACATGAAAGAGTGCAACGGTTTTATTCTGTGTGGTTGGATGCACCTCCTGTTCTCTTCTCCAGGGGAACGCTCACTCTCGGGAGCGGCCCACAATAGCCAGGATGTACGTGAAGATGTTGATGATGTCAGTGTAGAGGTTCAGAGCAGCGAAGATGTACTCCTCTGGGCTGAGGGCCAACTTCTTGTTGCCTAGCAGAAGCTGAGTGTCCACAGCCAAGAACTGGAGGAAAAAACACAAACAAAGATGCATTGATTTCTTATGTAATATGTCTTTGGTATCTGCTAAGAATGCTCTGAATGTGATCTTCAGCTAATATCTATACAGGATACAACAAATGTTGGACAAATATTTGTTTTTTCTCATCACTAATTAACTGTATCCAGGACTCTCCTCCTTTCCCTTGATAGGTCATTGTTTCCATCATGTCTTCAAAGTATCCTGATCTTTAATACCTGATTTTCCAGCAATGGTCTCCAAAAAACAGTCCAAACTGCACCCAACCTTAGGCCAACTAAAACTTCTCTTTTTTATATTCCACCCATTAAACTACTGACAGACTTCTAAAACATTTTATTACAATACATCTTGTGGACTTTTCCAACACTGTCATGCCTACAAAAAAAAACCAACAGATGAGGTTTATGGGGAAAGAACTGTTGGCAGATGTACATGGAAAGACAGATGGACTGCATTTAGATGTTAGGGACAAACAGCTAGTACTTGCTCTGGTTTTTAAAGTTTTAAAGTTCACATGATGCCATAACACCTCTGATTGCTTTATGCTTGCCTGTTTCTCATATCCATCATCAACTAGTAATGTTGCAAATCAACAGCATTAACTCAGCGAGATTTGTCAATAATGTAAGTAGCAAATACAGTGAGCAGCTAACTTTACACAATTAACAAATAATACACAGTTCTCCAACATTATTTCAACAACGTGGCTGAAAACCAGTTGAAATGGCAGATTGTAATAAAATGCTACTTACACAGGTGAAGAGCAGAGCCCCCAGGGAGGCGTAGACGATGTGCAGGATCTTGTGGCGTATGAAGATGCAAAGGATGGAGAAGAGGAGGAGCACGATTAAGCAGACAAAGAGGACACCTCGGCATGAAGTGAAGTCATATTTGCTCTGGTTTGGGAGAAAAGAAAAAGATTATGAGAGCTAATTTGAGGAAACGGATGTCATTTTCTGACAACCTGAATACACTCTTTTTGCAAAGTCAACAATATCACAAAACTACAATTATTGTATAATAATTGAAGAGTGAAGCCACAAAAGAAACCAAGTATACAGCAATCAGAGAGATGCTGATAATTCTGCTACTAAACTGTTGCATAAGTAGTAAGGAGCGCATTATGGTCAGTAAACTGACCTGCAGGGAGAAGAGCACCACAGTAAAGCACACCACTGCAGTGATGCCCACAGCCATGATGACGGTATCCGTATCATAGAAGCTGGCAATCATCCCCACCATGTAGGACAGACTAAGTGTTAGAATGGACTAAAAGAGAGCGAGATAGAAAAAGAAAATCATTACCTTCACTCACAGATTCCGATTTTAAAACACCAGACACAAGAAGCATACAATACACACCTAGGTGTATCTACTTATATAATATCTTTGTATACAGTATTTACATTTGATATTTAAGTATATATATATATATATATATATATATATATATATATATATAAATATTTCAAATACAGCCTGCAGGAGAAGTTCCATTAAGGCATTAATAATAAATATAATAATGTAATTATTTATAAGTGCCCTTCAAATCCACTAAGAATGCATTGCTTGATCTTTCTACTAAAAAAAAACAATACAATCAAAGGTTAACATATGACTGATTAAATGTAAACGATAAGAGAAAATACTAGGCAATATTATATAAAGTGTATATTTATAAAGTGTGCAAATTTATTTTAGGGTGGGTGGGGTTGGGGGGGTGTCAGACAGGTTAAGGTGGGATGAGAGCACTGAGCTGTGCAGTGGTCTACCCTTCAGTTGGGGAAAACTGACAACATTTTCACTGGGGTGGCTTACGGAAACATTCCTGTCCTGAGTGTGCTTGATCAACAACAAACTGAATCTATAGGTTTGCCAATCCCTACCAGTGCCACCAGGTTCCATGGGTGTTTGCGACGGAAGTCTCCGCAGCAGCTAAGCACAATAAGAGACACAAAGAAGACTGCGTAGGACACATAGTACGGCCACCGGTTTTGTCGCACAAACAGTTTGACATCAGTTGAAAAGGTGAAAAGAGCAACGAAGGAGAACGTCACCATCAGCTGTACAGTTAAGACCATGAACACCTGAGAACAGTAACAGAGCACAAAGGTTAGACAAAGAAAACCAAACACAAAAACAAGATAAACAAAAAACTGCTCCTACAGCTCATGTACCAACCTAGTGTTCAGTTTTCATTGCCATACTACAAACAAGTGCCACTCATGTCCTCGACTCAAGACACATGACTGACCTATTCTCTGGTCTCTCACCTTTCTGATGAAGGCTTGCCGGATAGTCTTATCCTCCCATCCAGAATTGGCAAACTCCTCGTTGTCATAATAAGAAGGTGGCCCATCTCCACCGTGATACCCCGGGCTCATGGAAGCTGACAAAAAAAAAAGAAAAAAGAAAAAAAAAGAGTTGTATCACAGTCACTATTGGAAAGGTACGACAACTCCCCATAACCACAGCTGCAGTTGAAATTACTAAAGGTCATGGGGAATACAGTCTTAAAACATTAATGACACTGGATATTTCATTATTCAGTTTCTCTCTGGAAACAGTATTTCATTAAAAAGGACCAAGATCTCCATGAAGAGATCAACATATGATATTCACTCACTACTGAGGACAACAGTAATTTAAATTTCAAAATGACTCAATAAATGGAAAAAAACCTCAAAGATCGCGCTAATCTGGAGAATTTATAGACTGAAATGGAAAAAGCAGATGTCTAATGACTTCTTCCAGACAGAAAACTGGTATTAAGTGAACCTGGAAAGATTTCTCACTTGCCATAACAGTAAGTGCAAGTGATGTAAAAAGAAAGCAATGCTATAGGTCTATACTGCACAATGCCTTAACTAAAGAGACCTCATGTTAAAAAGACCTTGCAAAGATATGAAAATGAAATCAAAGCATAAGTTAATCAAATATGTTGCTTTTTCCAATCATCCAACTGCACAAACATAGCCAGGACATCAACAGTGGTCACCTTTATTCTATGAGCACTATTAATAAAATGATAAACACCATTGAAAGCTACATCGTTAATTAATGAACCCAAAATATAATTCACTTTAACTAAAAATTGTACCACCAGATCAACTAGCCTAAATGTCAGTAGATCTCATAAACCTAATGATAATATAGATTTTCAGCATCTAAACCTCACAGCCACCGTTTCTGGAACACAGAAGTAACTAAGCTCAATTCCAGTACTAATCTCATGTCCGAATAAAACTGAAATGCCTCTTTTTGATCAATGCCAAAGCCAAAAAACATGGCTAAAACACAGCTGCATGTGACCCAAAGATCAGTGTTACTTAATGGGTTACTTAACTCATTAAGTGGGTAAAGTGACATAAGGCACAGCCCTAAATAAATGAGTATATGTGCAAATTTGTGGTAAACATGCCATGTGAAAAGTTAATAAAGTCAATATTAACAGCAGCCACAGTAATTTGACACTAGGGAGGTGGAAAATACTTATTGTACCTTAGGGCGAAACCTTCAAAAGAGGTGATATTCATGATATTCATAGTTCTGTTCAATAATCTGAAACTGTTTCAATACTTACCATTTGCATCCATACCAAAACCAGGCTGCCCAGGACCTTGCTGATAGGGGCCTTGTGCGTATGGCCCCTGGGTGTATGGGGCTTGAGGGTAGGGCATTTGTGGGTAGGGCATCTGTGGGAAGGGCCCAGGGGCAAACCCAGGTGCTCCCTGGGGATAACCAGGTTGGCCATATGGTCCTGGTGCTGCGTATGGGGGCCCACCTGGGGCCTGGGTGTAGTTAGGTGGAGGCATCCCAAAGGCATCAGGCTGGGGTGGTCCATAGACATTATGGGGCTTGTTCTCTCCCATTATAGGGTAGCCGGTCTTGTCCTGGGACATGTCTCCTTTCCTCAGAACGACCCTGCAGGATGGACAGAGATACATGAAGTATGGGAGTGACATCAAGTATTATTGAATCACAATGTTTTAAGCTGAAGAACTGACATTTTTTACAAGAATCTGCACCTGTTCAGTTACACTGCTGAAACAGTGTACTTGGTCACAATTACTTGGTTTTTCAAGAATACACATTTAAATAATAAAAAAATATATATAAAATTTACATTCTGAATGAACAGGCAGTGGTTAGTTGTCAATTTGCATGATGGTGCATATTTTAACTGCTCCTAATCTAATAGTAAGAAACCTAATAGCCTGATGAACTAATTTTAATGCATTTCTTTGTTACAAAGGCTTCCTTGTTTATCTTTTTTCAGCATTTTTTGGAAAAGCTATATGCATGGTATGTTATTGTTCAGTTTAGTCCCTTTTGATTTTTGACGTTTTTGATAATCTCTAATTTCCAATCAAAATAATTGTAAAATTACTTGGTAATATAATCAAATATAATTGATAGTAACAGAAACTAAAGACTTGAATAAGACCCCAATTTAACCCCAAACCTCCAATTAACCTCACAGAGTCAGACTTAAAGCCTTAAAGCAGGTATTTGGATAGCAGAATTAGTTACAATACAGCAAAGGTTGCCCTGTAAAAGACAAACAGCTGGTAGCTGGATATCTTTCAAAGTTGAAGCCTGTACAGACTAATTCATTCATAACGTGACACTCGACCTCACTTTTAAGGCCCATGGAAGTTCACACACACCACAATGTGAAAATATTCGGGCACATTTTCTTCACATCAAACTATACACATCAGAAGTGATGCCATTTCTTTTGTAAATTCATTGTGTTGTTCTCACAGTGACAAAACAAATACGTGTGCAAAAAGACATCCTTTACTTCTTACATCACGGGCAACAGTGACATTTAGCAGGTGTTTTATTTTTGCAAAAAAATGAAAGGAGCACAGAGAGTTTCACCACATCATTCAGGGCCTGCACCATTTTCAGAGTTTTCACATATAGCTTGGATGTTTGTAACTCTGATTGAGGCCATTTGAGCCAAACATTTGATGTTTTGACTTTTTGAAGTTTGTGAAAAAGGACTAGCTGCTAGGACATAGCTGATTCATCAGCTTGGTTGTCACCATGCCAATGCCAGAGACACCTGGGCAGTGAGTTTGTTTCATCTGTGGAGTTTGCAAAATAAAACAGCACAAATAAAATAACCTCGTGTTTCACCTTCTGAAAAAACTGCATTTGTGCAAGAAAATCTATTATAACACAAAAAGAACAAGATCTGTGCCAGCCAATCAGTAGGCTTTTGTTACAAGGACCAAACTCTCTTGTCACTAAATAATAGCTCCACTGTCAACTTAGCTTGCTATTTAATTAGCTTGTCAATCCACAGCTACCAAAAGCTTAGGCCTGTATGTCAACAACAGTTCATTTTAAAACATTGCACATACCCAACTATAGGCATGACAAAAAGCCTAAAAGCACTGACCTGTAACCTGCAATAAATAGTTACAAATAAACTATTACTGTCACTACTGAGTATCAAAGAGCATTACATACAGAGCAGATTAGATTATTTTTTGGCATGTCTTGTTTATGTGAAGAAACAGGTATAACCTTCTTAGTTTTAAATTGAGGTTTACAGTCATGTCAGTTTCACTTGAATCAAGTATTTGGTGTACATTTCTGCCTAAATTCTGTGTGGGTGAAAATATCCTGGACAAATAGCAAAACAAAATGCTCTTTGTTTTGCTTGGATGAACAGAAGAGACATCAAATGGACTTTGGTTATTTATGACATCAAATATTGTAAATGATTAATGAAACTACATATCACTGCAGTGGAATATATGTAAACGCACCATCTAAAAAGCAACAAATCAAGGGACAACCGTTGTAAACATGCCGACTTAACCTAGATTACTTAATAAGGATTACATCACCCAGGTCCAAATCATGACTTCACCTGTATACACAAATAGGATTTCTATTCAAATGTAGGGATTTCCACTGCCAAAAGAAACCTGAATTAACTATCTATATCAGACACCCACGCTTTGGAGTAGCGTTTTACAGGAAGTTTGGTAAAGCTCATTTATTCTGTGTCATGTGAAACCTGAACTAATTCTTATTCTTCAGCTAACAAAGTAGGCAGGCGCTGTCACAAAAATGATGTAAATGTGGACAAATGTGAGATTGATAGTGGCAGCTGTGATGGACCACACTACATTATTTAGGAGTTACACAGAGGGCGCAAAGCAGGACGGGACAAGCAAAAACGGCGCTCTGGTCCAGAAGCTGAGCCAATGTCTTGACTCCCCATCAACTATAAGGGCTAAATGTAGCAAGATCTTAAGAGCACCCTTTCGCTATTTGATGAAAGACAGATGAAGATCAACATTAGGACAGTAAATCAATCCTAAACTCACAGTCCAAAACACTGGACGTTATTTTAAAGACTATTTGTAGTAATAAAAACTGTCCTTCAGTGAACTTTAATTAATGATTGTAGCTTTAGGACTTATTTATAAATGATGATTAGAATAAGCTCAAATGGTACAGACATCATTTGAAAAACTTCACTGGGATATTTAATGGAGTTCATACAGAAGCTCTGCAGATGCACGGTGTACGGTGTGGCTAGACAAACAAGTATTGGGCTACAGTCCAGAGGACCAGCCTAGATACTAAAAATATCCATGTGATCTAGTGCTCTGCAGTACTGACTAAATGCAATATCAAGATATTTTCCAAATATACTATGGTATCAGATGACATGTAAGTTAAAGCGGAGTTCCACTCATTTGTCAACATAATCACTGAGATGGAAAAAGTCATTTTATATGGAAAAAATCATCAAGAGAAAACTGATGCGAAATGGTGCATTGTAAATAAACTTAACAGCGTCTTTACAGTGGTGGTGATTGTGATGTCTTTGTGATGTCTACAGCACAAATATCCAAAATGACTAGTGAACAGGTATTTTCTGAGTTGATGATAATAAAAAAAAGGCCAAAAGCTTATCAAAAACTATTATAAAAAGTTTGATAGGTGTCTCAGGCATCAGACATCATATTTGTAATTGTTTTGTGTAATAAACACTATCATAACAACTGTGAACAATTCTGACTCGGCAAGTTACTCTAGCATTGCTCATTTTACATCAAACCACTCTGAATGACTTCATTTAGATTTTAATTTAATTAAATTGTTTTAATTGAATTACATTTTTGAATTTGGAATTCCTATTTTATGACTCCATGATTCCTGAGTGCTGGTGAGCTATGCTAAAAATATGTCTTATAAACTTTACAGCTAGATTTGATTGGATAAACATAAACACTAGCCAGACAAAACTTGATTTTCTGAATGAAAAGTTACTATTTATTTTTCTTTTATTACTATTTTTAATATAATAATATTATTTTTAATATAATAATAATTTTTCAAAACAATCTATGTGAAGTTCATAAGACAGGAAAACAACCGCTTGGCAATCAGGGGCATCACTGTCTTATGTAATAGAACCTTATTATGGATCTACTGCTTGTTATCTATGAATTAAAAAAAAAACTAAAAATCAATAATTTCATGTGTGGTGATCAGTGCTGGAATGCCAGATTAGATAATATATCACTCAGCGTGATACGATCGCTCCAGTAACACACCACAAACCGACAGTTCCTTCCAAGATTGGTAATATTATATAGCAAATTTTAGCCAAATACCCCAGAATCAGGTTTCTTCTAGTTCCCAGTAAACAGCAGGTCAGGAAAATCTTCAGTTATCCACAGCAAAATATTCTGCAAATGCACAAGGGCACTCAGCGCCATGCTATGACTCAGGCTAAACATAGCCTGGTCGAGTACCCAACTTGAGCATGGAGATTACATTTCAAAACAAAAAGTGACTAAAAAACGACTAAAAAAAAGCACTTCTACAGTCCGATAACCTTGATTTCATTTTCATTAAAGGAGAATTTCAAAGATTTTTCAAAATGTCTGCATAATTAAATTGGTAAGATATAAACAGTATGAAGTCATTCATAGAGGTCTGATGTGAAATGATTTCACAGAAAGTTATTATTACATGAAATGGTTATGAATACGCTACATAATGCCCAAGGCAATGTTTCATGATAGGTCTGAGATAAGTATTTGGCTAAAAATGCTAAAAGGCAAAATAGCACCTAAAGGAAACTTACCACTATTACATGTGTAGGTTCACTGATCGTTTTGGATAGTACATAAAATAGCTAAGTTTGCGTTCTTGACATAGTGACCCATGGTTCCTATCACCACCGCTGTATAGAAAATCAGATTCGCTAAGTTTCTGTACAGTGAACTAATTAGCATGAAATCCCTCCGAATGACTGCTTACTTTTCAATGACTGACTTAACTGAAATTTTGAAAAGTCAGTGAAATTCCCCTTGAAAGGCAAGTTTTCAGATCAAAAGTTATTCTGTTGATAAAGTCGACAGACTTTAGATGCTGTAGGCTATACATTTTTGATCACAGCTGCCACTTCTTAGAAACCTGAGGCTGAGAGGGGGAAAAAAGTCACCATGGCCACAACTCTCAGTTACTGACTGCAGCACAGTGTTTCATTAGGACCCTTCAGTACAAAGCAGCTTTCAGAGGGGGCTACACAGTTTCTAATTAAACACTACTCAACTGTTCTCCAGTTTTTAAGAAAAGTTTTTAACAGAGTGACAAATAAAAAAACGGGCAGAACCTCAAAACTCTTTCCCTCACTCATATGCTCACAACCCATATTCTGCTGTGTGCCGAAGAAAATCAATTTATTACACATTCTCAGTTGCTTTACGCTGTCTCACACACATGCTTTCTCTGTCACACACCCTACGGTGGATACTGGCAGAATTATGCAACACTGCTCCATTTCCACTGGATGCCAAATCTCATGTGGCTTATTTCAGTTCTACAGTTCTAATCTAGCACTGTGGACCAGGGCAGACTGCGGGGCAGGGGGGCCCTGC